GATGTTGGCGTCGACCATGGCGCCCCACTTGTCACGGCCCTCGCCGCGACGCCCGGGCGGGATGAAGATGTCGAACCACTTGGGGACGATGAAGCCGGCGAAGATGATGATGAGGCAGATGTGGCCGACGCCGAAGCCGAGGACGTGGAGCGGGTCGTTGCGAAGCGTGTAGAAGGAGGGGTAGGAGAAGCTGAAGACGATGGCGAGGGCGGGGCCGGCCACGTATCGGAGCAGGGCGGACCAGAAGACGGGGATGCTCCAGTTTCTTCCTTGGCCGACGATGAGATTCAAGTCACGACGTAATTGGTTACCCTGTTAGGAAAAGGTGGTTAGCGTAAGAAGCAAACATTAAAGGGGAGGAATGAGTATGTGAAGGTCTTACAGAGTAGAAAGCAAGGAACCAGAAACGCTGGAAAAGAGCACTGCTCTCCAGTGGCCTCAGGAAACCCTGGCTCTCGGTTCCCCAGAGCCTGAACTTGGCCGACTTTGCATTCGGGGTCTTGCCAATGAGGACTGCAGCAATGGTGAAGGCGATGTAAATACCAAAGCCCGTCCCAGCACCGGCCTCGGCACTCACGGTGTGGGCGACAATGACACCGAGGACCTGGGCTCCAAAGTAGGCAAAGGTGTACAGGGCGAAAGCGGGCAATCCCACCTGCTCGACAACGTCGTGCCATCGGTAGACAATAGTGGCGCAGACACACTCGGCCCAGACGACAAACACAAGAGCCACGTCACTGATCCAACGATCGACGCCAGTCAGCAGATAGGTGCCGAATTCGGCACAGTACGGGATGGACAGAAGGAACGAGACCACGACAGAGGTTGTCACCACGATGATACGGTTCCATCTTGGCTTGGCGTCCATGATGAGAGTCACGATGGCGTCCAGCATGGCAAACGCGGAACTATAGCCGAGAACCATGAGTGTGAAGAAGAAGAGGACAGCCCAGAGGTTGGAAGCAGGCATCTGAACAATGGCCTCGGGAAGCGTGAGGAATCCGACCATGAAACTACCCAGTCTCTTCTCAGGATCGGGGGTCATGCCCAGGTAACCAACAACACCAAAAACAGCAAAGGCGGCAATGTTCTCAAAGAGGACGTTGCTGGTAACGACGAGGATGGAGTCCACCACAGCATTAGAGTGCTTCTTGTTGTACGAAGCGTAGGAGGTGAAGTATCCGAAACCTACACCGGTAGAGAAGAAGACTTGACCGCAGGCGGTTTGCCAGAGTGAACCGTTGGCAAGCTCGGAGCCTCTCCATGTGGCAAAGTACAGCTTGATACCATCCTTTGCGTTGGGCAGAGAGCAGGATCGGCCGATGAGGATGATGGTGACGACAATGGGGAGTCCCATGGTGAAGTAGACAACACGGCCAGTCAAACCACATCCACGGAAGATGGACAGCCAGACGAGGAACCATGTGAAGATGCACCAGCCAACAGTCTCACCATTGACTCTTGTACCGGTATACTCAACCCAGTCCAGGATACCGGTGCCATCGGTGGTATAGTTGCCGGGAATGGGCTCTGGGACAACAGCGGTAATGTTGTTGTAGAACTCAGTAGCACGACCAGCCCACGGCAGAGGGCTGTGGAAAGAGTACCGGAAGTAGGTCATGATCCAGGCGAGATTGACGACAAAGTAAGGGGTGACGACGAAGCCAATGTACAGCATCGCAAGACCCGTCCCCTTGAGACGGTGGTTCATGCTGTTGAAGGCAACGACGGAACCCGCACGGTAGGCATTTCCAATGGCGATTTCGAGGATGAGCACGGGGATCGCAATGAGGAACACACACATGAGATAGGGGATGTACCACTGCAGCCCATGGTTGTTGTAGACGACGGAAGGGTACCGCAAGAGGTTACCCATGCCGGCGCACCCACCCATCGCCGCGAGGACAAAGGCCGTCCTCGAGGGCCACTGGTCACGGCCATCCTCGGCGGTATCGGGAGGCGGCGCAAAGGCGTTTCCAACCTTCTTCAGGACCCCCACCGGGCCCAGCTCGGCCGCCCTCCGGGGCGCATTGGCAATGCTGCTGCCAAAGTTCTTGATGGCGTTCATGCTGGACAGGGAAGACTGCCTCCTTGTCTCCCTTCAGTCCTCACGCGAGTGTTGACAGGGCCGCCTATGATAGAAACAAGGTTCATCAAACAAAGCGAAAATAGAGTCACAAGCTCTGCAGTAGTGCTGAATAAGGCTCGGATCACCAGTCGCGCAAACGGTAGTCAGATATTAACTTTAGCACCGGGCTCATCAAAATATTAAAGACCTGTCCACTTGGATATAGGAATTAGAGAAATACTGGACATGAGAATGCCCCGTTTATAAGAGTGTGAAGGAGAGGCGAGAGGACGAGGTGCAAAACAAACCAGTATCAAGACGAGGGCAGCAAGAAGGGAACGATATCAGGCGAGGCGGACTCCAAGATATACCATGGAGCCGAAGCAACACAGTCACCAAAGATCAATCAACAAAAGGCACTTGCTTCGAAGAAGTTTCGACAGCAGTTCGAAGTGGAGGACGCTCGATTTCGCCATCGACCAGCATGGGACCGCCAATTATATGCTTCTCCTCCCACCCAAGAACACCAAACGCATTTAGAAGCTCAGGGACTCGGCGAGATAAGGAGTGACTTGAGGAGCGGCTCTCGGGGATAATGACGCAGGTATCATTAGCGCACGTTTCTTATGCAGGGAAGACCAGGCCATTTGCATGGAGAGTCCCAGGTGTGGATAGGTGAGACTCAGGAGGAGGAGGAGGGCCAGGGTGAAGGATTGGATCGTTCATCGAGAGGCTGCCGCAGCTCTCCACCCATTTCCATCTGCTCTGGGACGGGGCGGCGAGCGATCGTCGACGGCGCCTCCGCGAGCTGTGTGAGACAGACCAGACGACTTGCAGATGGACAATAGCTGCCAAGAGCCGAAAGCAGACGGTGGCATGGATCCACGCAACTGGGCCACAGATGTCTGGGCGGCCAAGCCGGTTTTCCGGTTCCGTCCAGAGGTCGAGTTGATCTATACAGTGAAGTCCTACTGTATAGACAAAACTGAAAGCACAGCATCGTCAATCAACAAGCGTGACGGAGAAACCAGCCGCGCTGTTCATGGTTTAACCGCGTGGGCTCAGGCTGGGATGCGGCTCCTGGCGACGACGCACAGAGAGGCGAGCGGCGTAAAACGCCGTAGCACAGAGTAGATCCATTGGCCTAGTCCTCAACAACGGTCGTGCTAGAAAAGAAGGATAATCACTACTGACGAGGTGGCTGAAGAAGAGCAGCGCAGAAGGGCACGTTCTGCCAGGGAGTCAGAGAGATGGAGAGGCCCGTTCGCATCTTGGCCCATCTCGGCCTAGGCAGAGGATTCGGCGAATTATTCATAGAGCTTTAATCCCACGAGCGCTGGACAGAGTCATGAAATACCACGCTGCAGCGAGTCAAAGGTCCTGAAGCGAGACGGAGGCCAGGGTCCCAGAAATATGCTTACTTGGCCCCCCCGCACACAGTGCCGCGAAGGAGGCAGGACACATTCGACACATCCCTGCCAGATCAAAGCACGGGCAGGCAGAAGTCATGTAGGCTGATCTGATGGTGCGGCTGGACGGCACAAGGCACGTAAAATTCAAGCTTAAAACCCTGGCGACTTGAGTGGTCAGAAAACCGCCTAGATGCTGGGCCTAATCCCGCGCGCATTTCGCAAAGGAGGGCACCATCTCGCTAGCTGCGGCCCTAATTCCTACCTAATTTCTGTGGCAAGTCTTTTCGTGATGAAAGTGGCGCACGTAGCTGCCCTATTGCAACCGTTGAATCTGAGGTCATCGGCCTTGGCCATGGATATTGGTCTTGGTGTATTTCAGACGGCTGCAAACTCTTGCCATTCTTCACGAGGACACATCACGCAATAGCCCCAGGCCAGCCGCTTTCGACATTCAACGATACCAGCCAAGGCTGTTGCCAAGGCCAGAGCAAGAAGAAAACTCGATTAAAAAAATGAGAGCTCTGCCCGATTTCCAACTCGCCAAGCAAGCCCAAGCTCGCTCTGCTGTCCGGCGCCGAAGGACCAGGTGCCCCATCCCCACGCATCCCGTCCTTGATCAAACGCAGTGTTACACAACATCGTGCTTTGAATATAATTTGCCTCTCCGGGGGTTCTTCTCCGTAGTAAAAGTTACAGTGTCCCAGGTGACCCCTGTGAGAATAACCTGGTGCTACGGCCTGTAAACACATTCAATCAGCTTCGGGATTCTCAAACTCACCACTACGCAATGTTAAAGATATCAACAGAGGACCAATGGAGACCTCGTAAATAATCACCAGTAACAGAAATAGCCACGAATTCCCAACTACGCAAGCAGCATCATTATCGACACATTTCCCATGCCCCTGCCGCCTCCACTGTCCCGCTGGGGCAGAACGGAGACGGGAGAAATCACTTGTGGATATAAAAGCTGAACCAGCTCGACCCTGTGGATCGTTTTGAGAGCAGGCTCCTGATTCTGAACCAAAAGCCAACCCGATCGGGGAACTTTTTGTCCTGTTCGAAAAGAGGGGACCCTGTTCCGAGGCACGGAACCCAGGTACGATAAGTTACAAGAAAGTCATCCCATTCCTCTAAATATTGTCTGATGCTCGCATTATATCGCTCACAATCTCTGATCCTACGTAAAGAAATTTATTTGTTTTCGATTCATTCGATTTACACCCGGGATCCCCTTTTGGGAGAAGGAGATGTGAAACAGGCAACCACTTCCAAGGTTTCAATGATCTGATATAGAAGTCAACCAGATGCGTCCGTCATTCTCTCGCTTTCGCAAGATCCAGCAATAGGTCGTCGATGTTGAGTAAATGCCCATCCACTGCAAAAGAGAAAGCAATAATCTTTTTATGCATCATGCCAAAAAGCGAGAGAAGGTGGGGGAAAAAAGATATAAGCCATTAACACATAAACGTCGTGGATAACCCTGTGTGGCTGAACTACCGTTGGCAGTCAATCACTCCTCAAGCCATGCGAGTCTCCTTGGTCTCCTCACGCAGTGCTCTAAGCTGCTTGTCGAAGTCCTTAGCAGTCCACTCCCAGTACGAGGTCCAGGCGCCCACTGCGCCCGCATTGCTTGTTGCTGCTCCTGCGTTTCCGGTCACCGTTTTCATCTTCTCGCCCAGGATGAGCGTCACGCGAAGGGTGCTCTTGATGGCCTCCTCTTGCTTCTCAACCTCCTGCTTAACGGCGTTTTCCTTAAGCTTGACAGAAAGCACAGCCCGGAATGCCTCTGCAATCGCGTCCAGTCTTCGAGCTGTCTCGTCTGGGTCAATGGCCGCCAGCTTCGTGATCATGAGGTTGCAGAGCTGTCTAATATCATTATCATCCTTAAGACCAGCGATTACGCGATCGTAAAAGTCAATGTTGTTGATACGGCTGAATGCCGTTTCCATGAGGGCGTACAGGGTCTCGTATGCGCTCTGTGTGGGATGTCAGTTTACTTCACTGTGATCTCAACTCGCAAACATGGGGCGCGTACCTTTCGAACTTCCAGGCCATCGTCAACCTTGTGCTTAAAGGGACCAAGCATCACCTCTCTGACAAGTTCGGGCTTGATGATAGACTCTTCTAAAACGTAGGGGACCAATTTGCCCAGGCTAGGCAGAATCAGGTCTGGCTTGTTGTGGGTAGCAGAGTTGAGGGTCATCATAGCAAGTCGGCGGTTCTCTAACTCCTTATCCTGCAGGACGGCAAGGAGCATATCCACGAGCACCTGGCGTAGCATAGCATCGAAAGCCTCGTCGCTTTCGGGAAGAGTATATCGAATAGCCTGGATGGCCATGCCACGGATGCTTGGGGATTCAACAGAGAGAAGAGCCTAGAAAGAGTCAGTGAACATTCCAATTGGTCCTGAATACGTATCTGAAATTCACTTACTTGGAGCTGCGGGATGAACTCGGCCGGGTTGAGAGCCACCAGTCGACCAGCGCACTCAGCACAAACAACCTTGTTGTCAGCATCAGTAGAAGCTTGGCGTAGCTTCTCCCAAATGCTAGAAGCATAAGCCTCTACTCCAGACGAGAGCGATGAGATGGAGTGCAGAATCTCCTTCAGGGACTGGATAAGCAGATACTGGGTGCTGCCACCCTCATTCATCTTTTCAAGCACCACAGGCAAGAACTCGCCGACGTTACCAGATCCCGCCCTGCCGAGTGCAAGGGCAGCCGACAGAGACACCTTGTCTGGCTCTGGTCGGAATTGACCAAGGAAGAGCTGGGGCTTGAGCGGTGATTCAGCACCAAGACCCTTTCCTGCCTCTCCTAGAACCGCCAGAGCGAGACTGATCCGAGCCTCATCCGGCTGGTCAGCATTGTTGTTGAGCTCTTTGATGAAATCATCCACTGTGACTCCTACGGAACCTCCACCTGCGACAAGAAGTGTTCCTATGATCTTGCCTACAACAGATGAGTCTCCCAGGACGCTAACTTGAGTGAGGAGTCCTTTCATCAAAGGACCGCCGGAACCAGTCTTTCCGATAGCATGCATCAAGTCGAGGAGCTGGTCCAAGACAATGCTGGCATAGTTGGTCTTGAGGAGTGCGCAAAGAGCATCGATGAGTTCATTGGTGACGACCAAATCTGAGTGCTCAGATACAAGGCTAGTGAGAATGGCCAGGGCAGGTCCGAGAAGGTGGGTGTCGTTGTTTGTTATGGCCGGCATCAGAGACGAAACAATACCCTTGATAGTGTCCGGCTCAAGCGCGCCTGCAGCAGCTTTTGACAGGGCCAGATGCTTAAGAGCCATGATGCTAGATCCACGCAGCGCCCGGTTTGCCTTCCGTAACTGAGCAGACAATTCCAGTGCAACATCTTGAATCCAAGTCCGGTCGAGCTGGTCAGGAGAGTGTGCAGAAGCTGACACCTGGTCGACAGCACGGACAGCTGCCAGGCGAGTAGTCTCATTCTTGAGTCTCTCCTGAAGAATGCCAAGAGCCGCTGCTCGCTTGGTAGCTGGCAAGAGAGCAGCGCCCTCAGGACTCGAAGTGCGCGAGATGAGCACGCCCAAGGCGTGGATAGCACGCTGGCGAACTTCAGCATCAGCATCACTGGCTGACCCTCGGTCGACAATAACCTCGTACAATTTGTCAAGCTCATCCTTGAAATGCGCGCTTACACCCTTTGCCCGCGGAGGAGTGATGGTCTTAATAAGTTCCTCGACGGTCCGCACGGCCTCGCTGGATATCTTGTAGAACCGGTCATGGACAGCAGCTGTCACAGCTGTGACGATCTTTGCAAGGAATGGCTGCAGATGCGTAGAAGAGTGTGTCTTAGAGATATCGCTAGCCAGCTTCAAAGCCGCAACACGAAGGGTGCTGTGGGTTACAGAGGCAGATCCGCCTGCAGATGCCAATGAAGATGAGACACTAGCAGTCGCCTGCTTGATCGCATCAGTGACAGGTCCAATGATATCACCGAGGTGGTCAGATAGACCTCCCCTCTGAACGGAGACGATATCGTCCAGGAGGTTGATGATGGCCTGCTTGGTGGGGACGGCCTTGCCCTTGAGATGTTTCGTTGCTGCCTTGACAATTGCCGGCGTGAGCTTGGCAAGGTCTGTTTGCGGTCCGCTCAGGGGGACCTTTTCCTGAGTAGGCGACGCGATTCCTGCAAGGGGCTGGGATGGTGCCACAATACTGCTCTGCCTTCTCCTCTTCCTACTAATGGGCATCTGGGCAACCACATCATCCTCCAAATCATCTAATGATTCGGCAATGTGAAGTCCTTCGCCCGTCTTTCGAATCAGCAGAGACAGAGTAGAGATTACCTCCAGCCTCACATTCTCTTCTCTTTCATCAATCTTCTTAATCAGTGGGGCCGCCGTCTGGCCGTATAAGACGCCATTCTCCAGCAAGTCACCACTTCCTCGTGTAGCAATCAGCGTATAGATGGTCTTGACTGCGCATCTGCGTACCTTCCAACTCGCGTCGTCGTCGTCATCCTCGAATCCGTCATCGTCGTCGAATTCATCATCCTCATCTTCCTCAGCCTCCTCGTCTTCGTCCATATCCGTATCATCGTCATCCACTGCGTAATTAGGATCATACTTAAGATATCGAAGGCATGCAGAAATCATGTCATCAGTAAACGGCTTAGTCTCCTGGGGACAAGATGCCAAATAGGCTTCGAGGGCAATTAGCGCCGCTTCACGGACTTCGTTAAAGTCCTGGCCAAGATCATCACCATCGCTCAGCTGCTCCAGGTGAACCTGTAGCTCCTCCTCATTCAGGGCCTTGAGGATAAATGGTGCGGTCTCCGAGATATGAGGGGCGAATCTAGAGGGAATCGACCGGGCCATGCTGCCCAGGATGGAGATATACAGGCGTCGGGTTACTGGGCTCAGCTTCCGGCCAAGGCCTTCTGTGATTCTCCGGACAACACCAACGAGATGGCTCTCTGCGAGGTATACGGCGAGCATGGAAATGGCAACAACAGCTCGCTTCTTAACGACTGAGCCGCCCTTCTCGTTCTCAAGGAGAGCGATGACAATTTCCTGCATGGCCTCGACCTCCACAGGTTGCAGCATCGGGCCGAAGCACCGCACAACCTCGATGAGAACGTCTACTGACTCGGCGTTGAGGTCGCCCTCGTTCTGAAGCATGCCCTCGGGAACCGGGGGCAGATCAATATGTGCTGTGCTGGGCTGCCTGCCCCCGGGCCCGATAAGGCGGGGTATAAGCACCCGGCTCACGGCATTGTAGGCTTCTTGTACCTCCTGGCTGGTGGGCAAGCCGGGCACCGGTCGAGGTAGGGCGATGATGACTTGTCGCAGGGCGAGAGACGGAACGGCATTGTCGACAGAGTTCTTAAGCTTCAGCAACGACAGCTTCTCGATCATCGGCGCAATAATGGGGGATGGAACTTTGGAAACTAGAGGGCCCAGGCTATTTCTCTCGTAAAATAACATATTAGCAATACCGTTCATGAGCAATGTTATGGAGTACCTGAAGTAGTAATTCAGGGTGTGATGCCGGAGGTAACACCGTACTTACCACTTGATTGCCAAGTTCTGGACCTCGCCATTCTGGTCATCCAAGGCCTTGACGATGTTGTCGACGGTCCTCGCTGCAATATTGTAGTCATGGTGAAGGAAATCGGGCTTAGCGTTTGTCAAAACCTGCAGAAGATCGTTCAAACTCATAAATCGAAAATCGGGATCAGCATCATTGAGCTTGGAAATCAAGGTCATGACCGCCTGGGGGGTCGCAGACGGAACTGATGAGGTCGCCATGGCGGGCGACGGAAGAAGAAGGGTCTAAGTGGCAGAATGAAGTACCAGACCTGTGAGCCCTCCACAGAACTTTCAGTCTCTGGCGGAGTCAAGAGCTTGGCCAGATGCTATGTGGAAGGAAATAGCATTCACGCTCATCGCGTGGTTAGAGGTGGGGATTTGAAGGTTGATATACAAGCTCCGAGAGCTGGGCCTTGCTGGGCTGCTGTGCTGCCTGCCCACCGAGCTAGCTGTGCCCCTCCACTCCACCTTTGCTCCACCGGCCGCTCTTTCTCTCTTTGTCCGAGCATCTTTCGGATTTACCGTTTCTCCGGCTCCGAGAGGCAGGCACGTTTACAGGTACGGAAGGAACAAGCAATCGCTTGAGGAATGAGGTATTCAATATCGCCAATGTAAATAGGTACCATATATTCGGTAAATAGCAATAAATATCAATGCGTGGCGAACCCAATCTCACGCATATTCTCTGTCCGAGCCTACTGACTAATGAAATCTCCCGTCTTTTCCGTACATCAAGCGTGTCTCAAAACAAACAAAAGATAGAAACGAGCATAAATAAAAGATAATAATGAAATAATAGTATAAGATGAAGTAATAAAGGCTACTGCCCGATGAAAAACGCCGCGCCAACCCCTTCGCAAGGGTATCATGATAAAGAATAAAGGGAAAAAATAACAAACCGCTCAGCTCCACGTGAGCAGTAGGTAGACGTCTCAGGAGAAAGAATATCCAAAAAGAAGAAGAAGAAATCTAAGAGGCCCAGATATATACACTTCTACGGGTCCTCTTGGATTGGAGCTTGCCTGGTCCCCTTTCCATAACGAGATTGTCTGTGTGAGTTGGAAGCCGCCCAAGACTCCTCGTCAGCTTGTGCACTGTTTCGGCCGCCAACATTTTGCATCTCCATGACCTCGACTCCGTTTTTAGATGAGTAAGCCTTCCTCTCAATGGCCTTGGCTGAGTCTGCGTCCTTTTCGATGCGCTGCATGAGGTCTTGATCTGTGGGGAAGTAGACCCGTCGGATAGACTGGACGACCAGCTCGATCACAACAAGTGTCGCCAGCGAGAGCAAGACGGTAACCCACCAACTGAGTTGTCGTCCGAAGTTGTGGATGAAGGTGTCATGGACAGCGTATATGTTGCCCACAGCATACATCTCCGACAGAATGCAAAGCCACATGAACCATCCAGCCACGGTAATAAGAAAGCAGAAAAAGATGACGACGGATTTGGAATGCGTCTCCAACATACTATAGCACAGCACAGATTAGTCTCCGATCATTACACGCGTCCAAGGAGCAATTGACGAGGATACTTACAAAAGCTTGATGTTGATGAACATAACTGATATGGTAAAGCAGGCCACACCCATGGAGTACAGACTGTCGTCATTATTGAACAGTCTTAGCCGGTATTCTGCCCATACTGGAAAGAAGTTGATAACACTGCCAATGGCACCCATGGTAGCCCAGCCAAAGTATTGAGGATAGTTGAAGCCAAGGTTCTTTTGTCCGAAAGTGTAAAGTTCAGGAACAGCAAGAAGGGTGTCTTGAGACAGGTCCTTATCAAAGATTGCCGGGATAATGACAGCCAGCGAAGTGAAAAGGACGTTAAACACCGTCAAACTCCAAGACTCGTACAGTGAGGTTCCCGTATAAGCATTCCAGCGCTGAAAGTGCGCCTGCACAATGTAGAACAAAATTTCTTTCCAAAATGTTGCAAGCACATACTTGCCAGTCCGAAGGTAGTTCCATCTGCCATGAACAAAGAGCAATCTCTGCAGGAATCGGAATTGCGCAATAGCGTAGTCGGCAATTCTGGAAGCCTGCAGACCTTCTCGGCCCGAGATACCAACGCCGACATGTGCCTCGAGAATCATACCGATATCGTTGGCACCATCACCAATAGCCAGGGTCATCGTCTTAGGCACATATCGTCGGATAGACTTGACCAAGTGTGCCTTTTGGGAAGGTGATGCACGACAGCAAATGACTGAATCAACCAGGATAACAAGGTCATAGAACAAAACAGCAAGTTCTTCGTTATCGTCAATTGTAGCAAGAGTTTGACCGTCAATAACAAGCACCGAGTGCGGGACCTGCTCACGCCCCACTGCGTTGATGGAATCAGTCATGGCCTGATGCAAGTTGCCCTCGGTGGAATCGAGAACATAAAGTTCAGACACAGGTGTGCACAAGCGCGCGGAGTGGGCAATTTCAATGGCGGTTTCGCGCTTATCTCCCGTAAGCATCCAGACTTTGATGCTCGCGCGACGCAGCTTGTCAATGGTTTCGGGCACTCCCTCTTGGAGCTTATCCTCAATAGCAGTGGCCCCAGCAAGCTCAAGACTCTGTTCAATCATCTCACTTGCATCATCCATCTTTTGCCGTCGGTCGTTGAGGCTGGTCTCGGCCTCTCGGTAGATTTCTTTCCACTCATTGTACGCGCTCTGGTCAATGTATCGATAACCGAAGAGAAGGGTTCTCAAACCCTCTGACGCGAAAGCGTCAATATGCTCAAAGCATCGCTCAAAGATGGCGGTCTCGCTAGCCGCGAGGGTCTCATCAATGCGAGGATCGTGGCCGTCGTGGGTAACCGCTCGTCCAAAGCTTTCCCGGCGGTCCTCTGAATACCTCTCAGCATCTTGAGAAAGGCGGAGGCTAGCCCTCCATCCCTCAGCGCGGCTGGCATTGAAACTATCCTGCCCTTGCATGCTTTCCCGAGCCGTGCTTCGTCTCTTAAGAGCCCTGCCTTGTTCGTCGGTTTTCCGTAGACTCATTCTTCGGCCGATATCCGTTGCCGTCTTTTGGGCAGCTTGTTTCTGTCGAAGCCGTGCGATAATGACGTTGTCAGCACCCTTGCAGAGTACACACAGACGACCATCAGGCATTCGGACAATGATTGACATTCTCTTTCTCTTACTCGTGAATTCAATCACGTCAAGCGTCTCATACACTTCAGTATGTACGGACCCGTCCGGGTTAGTGACCTGCAGTTTGATGGAGTTCGAAGGGCGGTCAATCAACAGATATCCCAAGTCGCGAGCAGCTTCGACGAGCGCAAGCTCATCCGGCGATGCTGCTTGGAATCCAATTTCGCCCTTTTCGTCAACCTCGGGCAAGCAGGTGTGGCAGAGCGCGATGCATAGAATGAAGTGCTTGACCTTTTGAGAGAAGATGGTGTTTGGGTGCCGGCGGACATAATCCAGGATCTCTTCCGTCTTCATTTCTTGCGGTTGGTCAAAATGCACAGATGATCTCCATTGAGATCGGGATGTCGATCTCCTGATAGCGCCAGGTCTTTCATCTGTAGTCCTGGCTTTGCCTTTGCCCTCCTTCTGCATGGCCATCTTCCTAATGTCTTCCTCCTCTTCCTTCTGCAGATCCATGTCATGAAGGGCAGCCACGCCAGCAACACTGAGTTTACGGAACCGCATTATGTTTTCCGTCAACGTTCCTGTCTTATCTGAGAAGATGTATTTGATCTGTCCCAGATCCTCGAGAATCGTGGTGGTGTTGGCAACCATTGGCGTGTTCGAAACGGGATCGTACATCTCTGGATCTTGCATATTGAAAAACTGTCCTATCTTTACGATTTCCAAGCTGATATACAGAGAGAGGGGGATCAGGGTGTTAAACATGATCAGATACCCGAAGAAGATCTCTGTAGCAGATACGCCACCATCGTAAAGCACTTGGCCGCTGGGGAGCTGTCGGAAAATGTAAAAAGCATTCTTCTCATTGGGATCCTTCCAGAGGAAATATCCAACTGTGAGGCCCATGGAAAGCATCATGACCATGAAGATTTGGAAAAGAACCATTTTGTTAACGATCGACTGCATCGCAGGCTTCTTCGCCTTGACGTTCTTGTTGGCGTTCATGCGAATCTTGCATTCTTCTCCAGTGTTGATGACCAAACCAATAGCGAGCGAGATATTTCGGAGGGTGGAACCACGGAGGACAACATTGTTGTGAGTTAATGGGAGAGACTCGCCGTCAACTGTGGCCTTGCCGTCGTAGCTATAAAGATCAAGATTCGGGTCCTCGGATACGACCTCGGCCCTAGTGGAGATGAGACCGTTCAGGGTATTGCATCTCTCAACAAAAAGCGGGCAGGCCTGCTTGCTCTTGAGGTTCGTCTCACCATCGAGGGCCATGGTGTCGACATAGGCGATTCCGTTGGGTCCGGAAGCATACAGCAGGGCGATGTCGGCAGGTAGACCCTCGTTGCGGCGGAGCCGGACAACATCGCCAACTTGGACGTGCTGCCATTGCACTGGCATCCACTCATCTCCCTCAAATGCAGCCGTCGCATGGTCCCTTCGCTCATGGAGTTTCTCATCCACCGGTTTTCCATTCTTCCAGCCTCGCCCGCTGAACTTCTTTGGCCGGTTGGCAGAGTTCTTCCTGACGCCGTGAGCAAGAACCCACACGGTAGTGCGGTTCTCGACCTTGTCTAGTTCGTATCGGCGCCAATCGTCGTACCCTTCTTTGAGCATACTAAACGCAATGAAACAGGAAAGGGGCACAATAGTCGTCCACCTTCCAACGGTACTAAGTCCCGGGATCACCTGAATGATACCAATCACCATGAGGTAGAAGTTACCAAGCTTGCTGAACTGATAGATCAACTGCCCGGGAACAAACGAGAAGATGGTATATCGGCTGGAGCGGATAAAGTTGTTGATATAAGGCTTATTACTGCGCTCGTCAATGAGGCCCGAGTTTCCCACCTCATCCGGGTTGAGGGGGATGTGCCGGCCATCCTTGGAAGCTGGCAGCGGCTTGCGACGAAGAATGATCTCGATGATAATGAGCTGCCACCAGGCTGCGATTCGTGCTTTGAGCTTGTCCTTCCAGCTCTCGCGGGCCAATCTCTTGTTCTTGTTCTTCTTCGCCCTGGCCCTCCTGATCGACTCGCGAATGTCGCTCCGGACAAAGGCCTTCATGCCCGCCGTGAAGCTGCTCGGAGTACGGCCATTGTCGTAGTCGGTGTTGACGGACTTGCTCGCATCCGGGATAGGGGACTCGGCAGCAGCGCCGTAGGGAGCCATCGAGTCTCGCGACTGGGTGTCGAAGGGCCGATGTTGGCGCTGGCTGGCGGGCGAGGCCCCAGCCTGAGGCTGTCGATCGGATGGCGGGATGGTCAGGATGGCTTCGAGGGATTCGCTATGAGGAAGGTGACCGGGTTGCCAATGTCGGGAATTATCGCGTCTTGACGACTCAGACATATAGGAGCACCGATGGGCTTCAAACTGCTTATACAGGGTCACAAAAGCTGTACCAAGGGAGGCCGGTCTGTCGGACCGCGCAGGTCAGGATCACCGCCGTTCGTCCAGTGCATCCGCCCTACGGGATGATTTATCTTGGTATATGCAATGCTGGAAATGAAATTGCGGAATTGGGCGTCCGACAGGCAATAAGAATGCTAGTAGCAGCAGAACCAAGGAGGAGAGACAGCTATTGAAGGACGCTTGATGCGCGCGAGACACCACCAGTTCAGCTCTGGGGTCTAGATCGTGGCCGTTCTGGCGGCCTTGATTGGCAGGTACGCCCAGTGTCTCCGGCCTCTCCACCGCCCTACTGTATCTCTGTCCATGTACGCCATAACTCCAAGCCATCGCCCCACATTGGGTCCTGCCAAGGGGCTGTCTGGGGGGCAGTTGGAGAGCTTCGGGCCCCGAGGACCGTCCCATCTCAATTGAACTCGACCAGCACACCGTGGCGCAGCGGCACTCGTATTGCTGTGGGCTCGCTGTCCAAGTTCAATGTGGGATGGAAGCCAAGCAATGCCCACATGGCCACCCTGAATTCAATTCAATTCGTTCGCATGCAACCACCTTGCGACACCGTTGGCGCTTCCTCATACGCAACACCTTAGCCCACACGCAAGCGGCGAATACTTACGTCGCCCTCTATCCAGCCTGATACTCGTAGTGTAGCTCCTCAATATACCCGCGCGCGACGGGCACCAACTGAAATTCTGGCCTTGCGTCTTCGCAGCATCCCAAACGTGATGCGCCATCTGTCTTGGATTTGAAGGCAACGGCACATATGTTGCTGTAAGCACTTGCTTGTTTTGATAGTCCGTAGGGTCCTTATCTTACTGAGTTTGGCACAATCATGGTTTGGTGGTACGTGGTCCCGGTCAGGCTAAGCCTCCTTATCCAGTCAGGCAGCACAGCCGACGTTCAGATGACTGGCGGTGATGGTACTCGTCAGCCTCTATCTAGATCGGAAATGGTTTCAAGTAAGGTACCGCCGCCGCCGCTTGAAGTCATCAGTTTTTTATCCGATTCTGCTGATACCCGAACAGAACTCTACTGTTGCACAGGGCAGTGTCTCCTCGTATTCCGAACACCTCTTACTCAGTCGAGAGATTGTTTCGCAAACGACGTCTCAGTAGTCTCGTTCAACAAGACACATATGTGACATGTAGTATAGTCCGATGCCCGGCCATCAGTATGCATTTCTTGAACCTGAGCATCAATGATCATCCAATAGCAAGCACACAGATCACATGGAACGAGAGAGGGACAAGCTGGATAAGAAAAAAAACCACAATACGCCGAATTTTTTAGACACAGTAACTACTTGAATACCCAACTAAGATCCCTGAGAGAACCGTATTATCATATCAAACCAGGATCCACTGGCTCCGTGTAAATGCGACTTCTCCTGTTGTGTGTTGCGCCTGCTCGACCGATCTCTCAGTTAACAAGCACCCAAACACTTCCCCTTAGTTGACACATTCGAGAGATGTATCTCAACCTCTCCATAGAGTGTCCTCATTAGACCCAAAGACCCTTTTATAGATGAAAAAAAAGCCTCCTGGGCTTTTCGCATATATTCAGGCATGATCGCAAAAGGAAAAAAGAGCAGGATATAAAAAAAGGCATCCTCGTCTCTCTGAATATATGCTCGCGAAATTATTAGATCTTGAAGAGTTACGCGGTGGTCGGACGAACTCTTCATAGACAAGTATTTGGCATCGGAAAAATAAAAATATAACCAAACAATAAACCACCAAAGAAATATGAAAAAGATGTGGTCGACAGGAAAATGGCGAAAATCAAACATCGAAACATTGCCGGAAACAATGAAAAGAAATCAAAAGGAATTGGCGTAAGAATAGAGGAAATAAGCCAAAAACCGAGGCATGAAATGATGTAGAAAAAAAATTGTAAATGAGTACGATCGCTGTACCGGACATGCATGACCGATATTGAAGAAGGGCATTGTCATGCAGATTCGTCAGGGCCGTAGCAAAAGAACTTGCGGGAGCCAACTAATAGTTGCCCAACTTGAAGAGAAGTGTTGGTATTGAGCTGAAGAAATTCCCCAGCTAAGAGCAGAAAGGTTCCCAGATCCCCGTGGTATATATCGTCCAAAACGCCATGCAGCACCAGAGCCTCCGAATCCGAGGCGGTCATATAGACACCTGGATCCAAGGTATACAAAATTTAAGCCACCCACAGTTTAGTGTGTGAGTGGTGCACCGGCCTCAGGTGAAAGGCTAGCAGGGTCAATGGTATCGAAAGACACCAATTGGTCCATGTCGAGCTCAGCTTGCTGAGGCTGTCCATAACCTGGAGACTGCGAGTGCATGGGGAGGTTGATGCTGTGCTTCGAGTACATCTCGTTGAGGCTTCCACCGTCATCGGAAACCGCACAGGATCCATCGTTGCCACCATACATATCAGCGGAACCTGGGCGACCCATCATGGCCATGGGAGGCGACTGCTCGACTATTGATGGCTCGGAGGGGCTGTGGTATGGCATCTGAGGAGGAGGGATGGGACCGGGATTTTCAGAACCAGGCATAGGCGAGAGGAAACCTTGGTTATAAGGAGCGTTATATCCAGGGGCGGGAATCGGGCCAGTCTCGTGTGCCTGCGGGAAGAAACCAGGGCTTGGAGGGAATTCTGAAGCCGAGGTGGTGGCAGACATAGGGTACTGGCGCATATCGAGTCCGAATCCAGCCTGTGTATCGATACGCAAGTTGGCATTGACCTGGGGGGGCGGCTGAGGCACGGGAGCGTAAAGGTGAGGGTTGTGCTGGGGAGGGGCCATGTCACCCGGAGGTTGAATGTAAAACGAGGGCATCGGCTGGTTCTGGAACATGGCGAAGTCAACAGGGCCAGGGACGGATCGACTGCGTTGGCGCTTGTGTCCGGGAGGAGGTCGCATTGCCGAGTGCATCTGGTTCATTCCCCAAGGCTCCTGGAGCATGCCAGGGTGAGGTTGAGGAGCGAAGTTTGGCTGTGATGAGGGACGCGCTGTAGGCGAGACGGGAGCAGACATTGAGAGCGCGTGGGGATCCTGGAATGGGTGGTGGACAGCATGCATATTGTGCGGGTTGTGCGGGTTATGACGGTTCATGAAAGTCTCGAGAGAGACCAACTTAGCCAACTGCCCAGTCAGGACCTTGGGGTTTCCTCCAAGGTGGTGAACCAAACAATGTGTTGCCTGTTGGTCCTGCGTGAAGTCACCAACGGGAGAGAACCCAGTTGCGTTCGAGTGATCCATCAAAAAGTGAGGAGGGCGGGTAAGCTCAATAACGATGCCTCCGAGTTTGTTTGGATCCCCCTCGTTGTTCTCGAGGAAGATGTTTTTGACGTAAGAGAACGGGTATTCGATCTTATAGCCCGCCTGGTCATTGTTGATATAGTAAGTGATGGTTCCCTTATCAGGCGAGTAAAAGACGACCAGATCCATTGCATTTTGTCCGACACGCGTCCACTCGCCGATGCTCAGAGACCGGCAGGTCAAATGATTAATCACTATAACACGTTAGCTTGCGGGCTCAATCACGGTTGAGACTTTCACTCTGCTCGAAGTGGTACTTACAAACTTTAGAGTTGGGATCTCCCAAGAGCACACCGCCGTGCCCGAAGGGGGACAGGCCAGTGCGACCAAAGTAGTTACCACCCAGCCCTTTTCCAGATTCCATAGCCTGCATGGCAAGATAAGCACGCATCGATTCGGGAATAGAGTCAATGTCTTCGCCAGTCTCAAGGCTCTTCTTAGCGAGGTTCTTAATCTTCGCGCGCCTAAAAGAAGTGGGTTTGTAAGTGAGCTGTCCCGAATGCAATTCATGGGTTTGATGGATGGAGGTAGGTACCTGTTCTGGAACCAGATTTGTACAGAACGTTCCGTCATGTTAATCTCTTCCGCTATCCTCTCCCTGACAAGGGCAGTAGGTGTGGGATTCTTATTAAATTCGAGCTCCAAGGTTGCCAATTGGTCTTGGGTGGCACGCTGACGCTTCTGGTTCTTCTGTTGTTGGGTCAGGGTGCTCTTTCGGGGGGGTCGGCGGGAGGCGGAGGAATGGCCAGGAACAGATGATCCAGGAGAGGGAGACTGCTTCATAGGAGTCGATGAGTTCGGGTCGGACATGGAGCCAGGAGTTCCAACGACATGTTCGGTGTGGGTGAGAGTCCCCGCTTGCTCCATTTCTGTAGCCATGACTGGCAAGCACTGGAGTCGTTCGTTTATGTAGGTATTATGCAGTTGAGCCAATCGAGGTTGCTTATAGGCGCACGTCTATGAGAAGACGCTTTGTCGTCGCGGGCAGATAGAAGTCTGCTGTTGGTTATCCAAGTATTGTTGTGGCGGCGTTGTGATAATTATGCAGCCGATTCGCGTCCAGGAGTGAGGGGATGCGGGCGTGACGGGTAATCAATCGAGGTCGATATCGGAGGCAAGAAGCAAAAGTTGAGAAGAAAAGAAATGTTATATGTGCTGACTAGCGAAGGAGTGTCGGGATCGTCTCGAACAAGGATCGAGAACGAAGATCAAGTGTGGCCGTGGTTCGTTGAATAAGGGATCGAACGGTCTAAGCCGAATGAATGTAATGGGCCTGGATAAGGAGTGGCAGCGCCAAAGTGGCAGCAAATGAAGGTGATGTTCAAGAGAGTGACTTAAAGGAAAGAAGAGAATAAAGAGACGTGGGGGAAAAGAAAGGGAAAGAGGCGGTCACAACGATAGTTGGCGATGAGAGAGGATGGAGAAGAGAAAACGGGGGGCGCTCAAGGTGGGAGGTGCGCGATAGGATAGGAATTGGGGCACACACACTCACACACAGGTTTAGACAGGGGAGGGCAGGGCAGGCCGCATCGCTGCCAGGCCTTTACAGAACGGTCGACCACCCGCGGGTCGGGTGGTGTGTCAGGACTCAGGTACGACCTGGCTCTCAGTGGCCGACAGGCAGTGGTCCAGACCCACCATACCAGCAAGTGGAGGGTGTGGGTAGAAAAGGGACCGATGAGTGTATCCAGCCGTGAAGCCCTCCGCCAAGGGACCTGACCTCCCCTTCCCCCCAGAAGCATAGACAGAGCCACTGGGAGCAGGATAACGCCCTAACGCCCGCCAACCGCTGGCGCCAGTCAAGCACGCGGGTCTCCATTGCTGCACTCTCCTCGCACTGGGTATCCACCCTCTGGCAGCAACCCACCTCCTGCGGCCAGAAAGAGCAACCCAACCTGCCCACCCAACAGACGGAGCACAGCAGGTACGGAGTACCTTCGCTACTACCTCAGCTACATTAGTGCCTCGCGTCTCTCCCTCTCGACCTGAGCCCGTTTACTGCAAGACGCCAGCTTCCATCCTCCCGATGAGACTCATACACAGCCACCCGTCATCTTCTTAGATACGCCATACCACACACGCAGCAAGTGGCTGCCGGCGAGGAGGGTAAGCAAGAGAGAAGAGCGCACAGAAAGCAAAAAGGGGAAAAAAGGCCCTCCCGCACATCGGTCACAGGCCGACATCCACACTGTGGCTAACCGCCTCCACTGGTGACCTCTGCCTCAGCACCGATCACTACCCACCTAGGCGTCATTGATGCCCACAAGGCCGGAAGCCCCCTCCCATTGCCTTGACACTGACCTCACTCGCCCATCGGCTGTGCCAAGCCAAAACGCTCTGCTTGAAGCTTCTCCCCCTTGTGATAGTCTGACAACTTCTGCCTCAGGATTCGAATATGCACAGTAAACCAAGCTTGATTGGGAAAAGGGGCCTTCTATGCTTAGAGTTCTATGTATCACCGCTGGTCGCGACGAACTGATTCCGATGCGAACCAGACCTCAAGCAACCCCATGGCCGACTTGCCTGGCTGAATCGTTCTAGAAACCTATGCCATTGACTCCCATCTAGACTCTGTGTATCTCGTCCCATCCCCTTGCTTTTTCCGCAAGTCAGGTGCTAACGGATCATTCGGACAGACCGGGATGCTCACGTTTCCATCCATCCATCCATCCCTGAATAGCAAACGGAGTGAAGGTCTTGAAGGGTTCAGGGGCTCAGACCACCCACGGACCCGCTGAACCAGGTACGTACCGCATGTGTTCAGCCGCTAAGACTGCAAGGCACCGAATAGTGGTGATGCTCCTGACACAAGTGAGCCAGTGTGGGAAGCGCACTGTATTCCTAGTTTGGGCAAGGGTGCTCCGTAAGTCGGCAGGTGGTTATGGCGAGGAAGAAAAAAACAGAGACAGCACCTCTTCCCACAGACTGAGCTGGACAGGGGTAGCGACCGGTACCTGCACGGTACAACGCCAGACGGGACGGTACATGACCAGTCGAGCCCAGTTCGAGTCCAGAGAGAGAGAGAACATCCATTTGTTCGGGCCCTCCCCGTGGTTTGACTGGACCTCTCCTGACGCCGCTGACATCGGCATGGCTCCTACGCCAGAGCATTGGGCTGCTGCTAGCCAATGACATCCACTGTCTCGGCGAGCACTCGTTCAAAAGCCGGCCCCTCCTGATTCTCCCAAGGCTGATTCCAGACGCGGCACACGCGCCTCAGTGCTGGTCAATTGGCTGGCACCATGCCACCTGATCAACTCGCCACCCGGCCATTCGTCTGATTGTTTGTTTTCCCTCTCTTCAGGCCTACCTTGCGATTGATAGGCAGTCCATCACTGCTGATCCCAGGGAGCAGAATGCCACCAGTGTGGCAGGATCGCCTCTAGCTCGCGCAGGAACGGAGCGCACATGTCTATCGGAAGCGAGCAGCCAGCGGGCGGAGCCCTCCTCGCGCAATGGTGGTGACCTTGGTTTTTTCACGCCAGCTACGAATCGGCCAAACGCCCACGCATCGTGGTGCTGCCTCTGACAGGCTCCGGTACCCAGACGGGAAGAAGGGCCTCCAGCTCCAGCCAGCTTGCTTAAAGAGCTTCGGCGCTAAATTGAGCTGAGCAGAAGCCAGCACAGTGCACGGGAAGTCATGCATTGCATTGGGGGAGCCTTGGGCGGTACGTACCCCGTTCTCACGCTTGTCCCTGTTTTAGTTCTACTCCAGATTCCATGAATAGACGGGACTTTGCAGAGCACGGACGAGGCGTCGCAAGTTCCCTCCACAGCACTTTGACTTTGACGTGTCTTACGCCCAGAGGACGCATACATACACGATAAGATCCTGCGGCCATCCCCAGAAGGGAGGTACCAGCATCATCTTGCGTGGTACCTTCAGACAGGCAGGCGGTACTTCTCGATGCTGCATCAGTGTGGTAATACCACCTAAGCACCTCCATGTGACGCGGTGCGAGATCAGTGCTAAAGGCGGTATGTTTGACCCGTCTGCAGGATACAAGCATCTGTGCGTGAATGTCTCCCCCTTCATCTTCCGAGGCAGATCAACGTGACTTGATTTCGGTGAGAGAAGACACAAGAACCCTCTTTTGAGAATACCAAGATCCATGTCAGGTCAAGATACCCTACTAGTAATGCCGAGCAAGCTACCCCGATGGGTCTACAATTCAACTTTGAGACAAATCAATCAAGTACTGTGTTCATCCCAGCCCGCTCAAGCGCGTAGTTCGCCGCGGCAAGCAGCACAACAAGAGCTCGACCAGCAAATCCTCAACGTCAGCTGGCTGATCATTGAACAAAAGGGGATATGACTCGCGAGGCTCCAATGGATGGATGGGTGAATGGACGGATGGATGAAAAACTACCCTAGCCTGGCCTGCCTCTTGGACTAACGACACCATCACAGAGACTTGAGCCAGACTTGCCCTGACTAAACCTTTTTCCACGCACCAGAACTGTTGCACGACGCTTCCCGTGCCTCCTCCGGCTAGCTGCCTCAAGGCCGCTGACCACGGCCCACAGCTCAAGCGCCCGTCCCCAACTGGAGGCTACGACATACGAGCACTAGCCAGCCCCTGAACCCGGATCCTGTGCCTTGCAGGTTCGCGAGATCCATGCAGCCTTGGCGTTCAGGCGAGGCCAACCAGAGCGGTGTCCTAGATCCACCAGCCCCAGCGGCGTCCCACACATGCACACATGGACCTTTTTTCCCCTTCCCTTCCTTCGGGGCATCTATGGACTAAAAGTGGCCCGCCCAGAGACTCAATGGACGGTGATAAACTTCAAAACGATTGGCTGCCCGGTAGCCTACTGCAAGGGTATCAGGACGAACGTCCAATACAATTAGTGCAACGACTTGACTGTTTCAGCCGAAACAACTGATGTTCAAACGATGGGGTGATGGGGTAGATCTTGTCGCTTGTTACACCAAGTGTATATCAACAATGACTAGGGCTTCCACGCGTATGACATCTACCTATCATGATATGTGCATGGAATATGCTAGCAACGCGCCTCCTGTTTAGGGATCGTCTGGCTCTCGCTGCCTGTTCGTCAGGCTACCACAGCCGTCTTGTTCCAGACGAGCGCAGCCGACGGATGGGTACGGGCTCGCTGCCCCCATGCTTGGCGTACAGGGGATGTATGGCGTAGGTCATGTCATTGCCGAGTGATATGTCGGTCGCCAATCGTCACCAGACACCTCCCCAACTGGCCTGCGGTTCAGAACTCCGTGTTGACCGCTTTGGTGCGAAGCTGGAGTGGTGTACTGTGGAGTGGTGTGAGTGGTACGGGATGCCTACTCCCATGCAGGTCAGAAGCTAGTTGGGGGGCTGTCTGTTCCTGCCAAGGTGCGTCTCGACCACATCCCATCTCCAATGCAATGGTCACTGCTACCCTAGGTACCAGCACCCAGGAGCAACGCAGCCGTGCCGTTGGTGTGTGCATCCATAATATCAGATGTAGGTCCGTCGGTATCTACTATCCAGTTGCCAGGTACCCGCCTACATTGTACCTCCATAATACACTTCATGCCTTGCCAGCACACCAAAAGCCAGTGGGTGGCCAATGTAAGCTGTTCGCTTCCAACTTGCATGCACGAGTATGTATGCGTGTGTGGTCTGCTTCCCACATGCTTGCTGCATTGCAGCACACACATAACTCCACCACCCTAAAAGGCCAACCCATGGAGCAGTCTGGTGCGTACAAAGGTCTAGCTCAGTCTTAGTTCTGGTCTGGCCCGGTCCTGAGAGGGGTGTATGCATTGTCTATGCATCCCACTGGCAACCATCATAACAAGAAGGCGAAGAGAAAGGAGTGCCCAAAGGACGAAAAGTCAAAAAGGCTCAGCCTCGGAAAACGTCACACACTAATGGAGGCCTACGGAGGTCACACAACAACTCCAGAGAGCGTCTCGGGTTATGATATGCCTCATTCTCACTTACATGCTGGATCTGGCTGCTCATTAACTAATTCTAGGCAAAAGGCCGCTTTGGAGGATCACCGGGCGCATGCAGAAGAGCAGACCTATCGCAGTTCGAGATGGAAAATGCTACACCCGCCTCCAAAAATACCATACGAGGAAGAAGAGGGTCTCAATTCTGTGTTTACTATTGCGAAGGTCTTTGTGCCCAGGCTGGAAGCGGGTAGCCGTCAGCCAGTGTCTTGCTCCTCCCACCATGGTTTCTTTTTCCCCAGCGCGTCTCCCGCCTTGGTGTGCGACACCCCTGACTGGATTTGTTTCCTTTCCCACTCGATTCTTTTTCTTTTTCGTTCTTTCTAGCATGTCACCAGCTCCGGCTCCTGTGCCTCCCGAAGACCCATAACCCCCCTTTACTAGCGTCCGTGATGTGAGAACCTGAATAAGTCCGAGATTCTGTGGGCACATATTTGCCATTGTCAGTGATCAAGCGGGCAGCCGCACAGACCCTAACCATTGACGCTCTACTATATATTTTATTCAATCGTCCGTCGGTTGTGACGCGAGACGGCCAGATACTAGTGCCCTTTCTGCATGACAAGCCAAAAAAGAAAAGGGGATGAAACCTGACAATAGTTCGCTCGAATCGCGTACTTTAGTTTCACGCCTCTTTCACTTTCTTCATGCCTTCTTTCTGGGCATAGACCTAGTGAAAGCATGCATTGGCTGTCTTCTTAGGCTGTTGGACCAAGTACCGAACGGACCTGTACATGGATTGCTGGAAATGATTGATTGAACGGGGGTCCCAGGTGTGTCGTTTATGTGCCAAGACTTGCTCAGCTACATGTAGCGGCGTATCGACGATAAATCTGCGGCTTAAACACGGCTCAGATCAATCCTAGACCAGCCTAAGTATCTTGGAGTCGGACAAATAAACAGCCACCTGTCTCAGCCTGCCAGACATGCAGCATCACTGCTCGACGAGACTAGCCTCGTTGCTACTTGCTGCCTGCTCATCCCTTGCATATCGACTGATCTGATGATGCTATGGGTCGTATTGTGGACTGTGGCGCACTGCACCTCTACGTGTTGCTTATGCTTCGGCTCGAGGTTTGTTGTTTACTTTTCTTTTTCCCCCTTCATGACTGCTCCCGTTCAGATCGGCTATAAAGGCTACGTCGTGTTGTAGGCACTACAACAAACGGCAAAGATTCTGCCCACAGTTCGCTCTCCAACGCAGAAACACGGCGTCGCCGATTGCTAAGCCTCTGGTAGAAGTACAACATGCTAACACGCAGTCGTAAACAAATCAACCGAGTACTTTATACATGTCTTTCTAGGTGAAAGAAAGGAGGGGCGGAGGGATAAAGATGATGAAAATATAGGATGGTTAACGCAGACGGGCACGAATCTCCTGATTCATACAGAAACCATTCAAGCACATCACATTGCTCGCATCATGATCTTCACACTCCCCCTCAGCTAACCAACTCCGGGGTGATCTTTTGTTCGCCACTCAGAGCTCCCGCATCACCTCTTCCACTGCCCTCGCTGCCATCCGTCTCCTCTGGTCCTCGCTCATCCCCTCACCCGCCTCCTTTGCCGCCTGTAGTTTCCTCATCATCTTCTCCAACTTGGCGATATCATCATCGTTCAATTCCTCGTCGTCCCCTCCCTCTTCCGTGCTCTTTTCGCCTTCCGGCTTCTCCGTAGCCGCTGGTGCCGACGCTGACCCGGCTGCGGGACCCTCGCTCTTGTTGCCGCGTAGCCCTTCAGCCATCCTCGACGCTTCCCCGTCGCCGCCCTGGCTGTCCCGTCCAGCGCCAAGAATATCCATGCGCATGCCCTCGAAATCCGCCCTGTCGAAACCAAAGTCGAGGCTCTCGGGGTCGAACTCGTCGTCTCCCCCGTCGCCATCGCCTCCCTCGAAGTCTCCAAAGTCCGAGAGCGGCCCTGCGCCTTGTTCCCAGTCATTGGCCTCGAGGGCTTCCAGGATCCTTGCAATTCCCATCTTCTCTGTGTCCCCCGTGTTCGTTAGCCATGTGATCTGTCCATTCCCCGGTTGAGAATCTCGCTGTGTATTTGCTCAACTACCCCCATGTTTGACGGAGAGGGATGCCAGGTTGTAGAAAAGTAAAACTTGCCTCCAAACTCGTTGCGCCCCTGATCCCGCGACGACCCCGTCACCTGGACAAACTCCAGCCCCGCCTCGGCGCACAGCTCATCCCACTCCTCCGTCTCGCCCTCGCCGACGCCGACGGCGATCCCCACGCCATCCCACTCCCAGCCCCCGAGGCCTTCCTTGACGACCCTGCCGACCTGCTTGATCACGTCCCTGGTCGGCTGGGCGCCCGAGAGGGGGAAGACGAGGACCAGGCCGCCGAGGACGGTGAGGACCTCGCGGGCCTCGGGGGACAGGAACGAGGCGCTCCATTCCTCTGGGGAGGCGATGAGGTCGATCCAGGTTGGGACCACGGCGGTGTAGTACGCCGTCTTGAGGTTCAGGTCGTGGGTTGAGCCTGCTAGTGTTGTAGATGCTGCTTCTGGTGCGGAGCCTGTGAGTTCTGCCCGCCCATCAAACAAAACCGTAGATAATTAGTACATCAGATTCCATTTAGCCAATGTAAATAAATCAATCATTATCATAATTCATTACAAAAGAAACAAGTAGAGTAGGGGAGACCGCAGGCACCGTGATATCAAACTCTACGAAGCGCGGTGTAGGGTAGCACTGAGGGCCTCGAGCATACCTTGGACCACCCGAGTTAAATGCTGGGTGGCATCCTCCAAGCAGACGGCCAGGATCCGCCGGGGGTTCTTGATCTCTAGCGCGCCGTCTCCGGGCATTCTGGGACTGCTGTCGCTCTCCCTGTGTATCATAGCGGCGAATTCTGAGTTTGGGGGGGGGAAGCTGTTGTGACGTCTTGCCCGGACGATAGAACGGTAGATATTACTAGCATTCGGGTGGAGGTCGATGGTGGGGTAAAAAAAGCCCGAGATTGTAAATTGTTTGTCAGGGTCCTGTAATTTAGTGGATTACTGTACATACCCAGATGGGAATTTCCAGGGTCTTTTCTAGAAAATCTATTCGAGGCATCTTTCGATGAGATCTCAATTAATTACACCTAAATTAAGTGATCGACGAAAAGCCGTTGATGGCCTGGTCCTGGCATGCCCCCGGGCTGAGTTAGGGCGATGGGAGCTTTGGCCAGGCAAGGGATCGTCGATCTCGGGGTGGGATGTTTAGATCTTTTAGAAGAGGCTGCTGGTGATGGGTGATGGTTTGTGCTATCACCAACTTTCATCAGAGATACCTGATACTGAAACCCCAACTGGGAGATTAAACAGGTTTCCTCGCGGTCTATGCAATCCACGAGTCTTGAGTCTAGTTGGCTTTGCCGCATAAAAACGTGTACATTCATCACCATGGTGGCTAATAACACCAATGTGGTTGAACAGCTCGCAATGAGTGACTGCGGGAAATTGCGTATTGGCATAATATGATTCTCTAATACTACAAAAGGAAACAGGAAACCATAACACGTAACGTGATCAAGTGTGATCGACAAGTCAGCACTGATGAGAGACATCAGAGCTCAACCAAGGGGGATGAAAGACGTATCCCAACTAATGCTAACGAATACCAAAAGGCAAATATAGGGGAGAGAGAGCAGGATAGTAAAGAGCTGAGAAAACCCAGATCTCCTGCGATGATTAACAGAGAAGAGACGCCGAACCCAAGCTGTGCAAGAAAGAGACAAGACGGAAAGAGGAATATCAATGGGAGCCTAGAGCCTAGGAGAAGCCAAGGGCAAGAGACAACATTCCATCAACAGGCATGCCAGGCCGGATCAGCTGTCGCCGCCCCAGCCGAAAGACCTGTTGACGACGCCCATGGCATCGACGCCAGCCTGGACGGCGCTCGCGAAGCTGCCCTGGGGGTCGGGCGTCAGGCCGGCCCTGTTGAGGTCGCCCTGGTCCAGCGTCCCCTGCCTCCGCTCCAGCGCCGCCTTCTGGATGGGCCGCGCCCACATGTTGTACCACTGCTCCTCGCTCAGGGTGGCGTACTTCTTGCGGCCGACGGTGTCCACGGCGCTCAGGTGCCACCTGGCGTTGACCGTCTCCCAGCGGGCGGTGCGGAGGAGGAGCCACGGCCAGGTGAAGACGAACATGAGGGTGAAGACGAAGATCATCTCGATCCACTTGGTCAGCCGCCAGCGGTTGGTGAGGCAGTCGTTGTAGATCTCGACGCGGGCGTTGAGCACGGGGAACTCGACGGCCAGCCGGCCGCGGTAGTTGGTCGACCGCAGGAGGGTCTCGAGCTTGCCCCGCAGCAGCTCAAAGTCCCAGCCCTCGACCTGGCGCTCGAAGGAGAAGTTCTTGAGTCCCGCACGGCTCCTGCAGTACCGCGAGCACCACTCCTCGACCGAGGGGGTGCCCTCCTCGGCGACGCCAGCGCCCCCGAAGCCGGGGGCCCTGGTGGGGAAGACGGTGCCGCGGCGGACCTTTTCGAAGTTGCCCGCCGTGGTGTTCTCGCGGAGGAAGGGCCGCTGCGCCTGGATGTCCTCGTACAGCAGGTGGGTGAGCTCGATCTGCAGGTTGAAGTCGACGATCTCGCGGCGTTCCGACTTGCCGTCCGATTTACGGACCTGCTCAGAGTGGACGCCGCGGATGTGGACGTGGGGTCGGGGAGGGATGACGGCGAGGTGGGCTAGGTGCTCGGCGAGAAACTCGGGATTCGTATCCAGGCGGTGGTCGAGATAGTACTCGATGCCCTTGTTCTTGTCCTGCAGAAACGGTCGAACCTTGAGAGCGTTGGTGCCGGGGGGGAGCAGAGGGTTGATGGGCTCCGATGGGCCCTGCTCGAGGTCGCTGTAGAGGGGAGGGAGGTCGTCGGCATGGAGTTCGGTTGGGTCATCGTCGAAATAGCGCTCGGTCGAGTTCAGCGATGGTCCGCCGTGTGAATTGAGGTTGATGGATGAAGGTGACTCCCCCACCGGCGTGGCTGGGTTGGGGGAGGGGATGGGTTCGTCCTGGAATTTGCCCATGGTGGGAATGACGTATTTGGTGCTCGCTTCGCAGAACGGCGGCAGTGTTCAGAAGCAGAGGTGGTGAAGGTTGGCAAATAATAACAGAGCTGGATAGGCAAATACAACAGGCTGCCAGTGGTGAAGAGGAGGATGGCGAGAATGAAGGCGCAGCACAGGCGTACATACGCAGGCGACCAGGCGCTAGCGAGGTGCGTGCGTGTGCGTTTGTACAAACGGTGGTGTGGTCGAGGTACTTTAGGCTTATTCTGGTCGCTCTCGTTGGAGGCGAGATGCCTGCTTTAGGTGGCCTGCGGGTACTATTGGCGACGACAGCCGCTCAACTGGTTCGGGTCCAGAAAGTTACCTCCACTTTGGGTCCGTTTTCTTAAGCGAAGCACAACCGCACCCGTTTGGCTGTCCCGTCCCACAGCAGTACAGTTAGGTACTGATACAGATACCCGACTTCTCAACGCTCCAAACCTCAAGTACTGCCCTGGGGGTTCAAGTAGGCTGAAGTCCGGCGCTTGAGACTGCAATCGACTCTGGCCTCCTGCAACCGTGTCGCAACGCAGCGCACCGACGCATGCAGACTTGCGACATCCTGGCATCCGACCCCAGTCTGGCCTGGGGCGGAATCCCATTCTTACCGTCTCACCAAACAAAGCCCTCTCAGTGCTGTCGTGGCCCCCAAGAGAAACCCCTGCCGTAAGCCAATCTGTCATCTATGCAAGTTGTTTGAGTTCCAGTTATGCCACTGTGATCAAAGAGTGCGATATGTATTGCGAGAATGGAGAACGACCATGTCTGTTTCATTAGTCACCAGGCCCTTGCTCGTAGACTCAGCTTGATGCCTCTCCAGACATACATCCCCGTCACAGTCAGTTGCATAGCATAAGATACTCGACTTTCCTAAAACGCAATTAAATAATACAAACGTATATTTATGGATTATTACTATCCAATGTGATGGATCGCCATCTATGCTGTGCAATCACATACCTGACAAAATGTCCTTCTATGTACTATTTTCGCATGGCCCTTGACTTTTTGTTTTACACAGCCAAACATATAATAAAAACTTTGTGCTGACCGGTCGCTTCCATCTCTTTGTCCCCTAACCAATCTTCTTCTTGTAGGTCTCAGTGCGTACTTACGAGTCGTCGATCAATCGGTCCTCGTCCCACTTTCTCTTCGCTGCCTTGACCAGTACAGCAAGCTCGCCGCTCATTTCACACATGCTGCGGAACAAGCCCTTCTCCTTGTTAATCAACTCCCAGGGGTGAGCGTATTCAATCACCTCGCCCTTGTCCAACACCAGTACCTTGTCATAATCCACAATCGTTTGCAGACGATGAGCAATAGTAATGACAGTTCCTGTCAACTCGCGGATAGTCTCCTGAATCTTGGCATCTGTCACGTAATCGATGGATGCTGTGGCCTCGTCCATTACCAGAACTGTAGGGCTCTTCAGCATAGCGCGAGCCAGGCAGAGAAGCTGGCGCTGGCCTTGCGACAGATTCAATCCACCCTCGCTGACAGGCGAAGCAAGGTCTAAGAAGACGTTCTTGTTGAACGAGAACGAATTTGATTCCGAGTTCACTGACCTAGCCACTATAGGCGTAGGAGGTACCGTGTTGGGCTCGTCCTGCCCTATGAGCTGAACTCGCCTGAGGGAGGCAAAGACCTCTTCATCCGTGTACTGTTCAAAAGGATCGAGGTTGCTCCTAATGGTACCTCGGAACAGCGTCGGGTCTTGGGGAACGATGGTGATATTGTCACGGAGATCCTTTAGACCAATCTTGCTGATATCAACATCGTCGATAATGATCTTTCCGCTGTCTGCCTCGAGAGCACGGAAGATGGCAAGTGTAAGCGAACTCTTACCGGCACCTGTTCGCCCCACAATGCCAACCTTTTCCTTTGCATTGATCTTGAGTGAGATGTTGCGCAGTACCGGGGCAAGGTCTGCACGGTACCTTGTTGAGTAGTCTATAAACTCAACGCCGCCCTTTGAGGGCCAGTTGGGCTCCGGTCGATGGTCCTCGATGATTTCTGGGGCCTCCTGCTCAACCTCCAGATATTCCTTGATTCGTTCAACCGAATTCATGTTTTGCTCGTTGATAGCATAGTTGCGCACTAGCCAAAGCAGGTTTTCGGTAAAGTTCATTGCGTAGGATAAAGCAATACCCGCCGCGCCAGCGTCAATCTTTCCAAGACCGAGAATAAGGAACACACCAGCGGCGAAGGTAACCAAGTCTCCCAGCAAGTCAACACGGAACGCCAGCCATCTGTTAAGGGCCCAGAGATAGATGAACGGCCGACTTTGTGCGTTGATCTTGTTCAAGTTCTCTCCAATGAAACGCCGTTCACAACCGTACGCTCGGATAGTTGTAATGCCATGTAGCGTTTCGCCAAATTGCTGGAAGAGTGGGCTGCGCTGGACTGACTCCAGGCGCTTGAGATCGCGGGAGGCACGCAAATAGAAGGCGGATATCATATAGAAAAGAACTGCAATGAACAGAGCAGCAACCAAAAATCCCGGGGTGATGACGGTGATCAGGACAACCGTGACAGCAAGCGCCAGACTGCAGGTCAACACGCTGATGGCTGTGGGGGCGACATCTTGATCGACGGCCTCAAGATCCTTGCTGAAACGGTTCACAATCTGTCCAAGGGGAGTCTGATCGAAAAACTTGAACCGAGCCCGGGTGACGGATTGAATCAGACGATCATGAATGCGCTTCGAAGCAGTTAGGGATCCGAAGAACAGCCAAAGGTCTCGGACAAGCGCTGTGACTGCCGACAGAATTCCGATAG